ATGCTTGCGCTATGCCTTGGGAAAACTGGAACGTCGCTAACAGAAAATCCTATTTAATATTCCTCATGGGAATTAGAAATCCCAATAAATTATCGGCTCTTAATTTTGTTAATCTCAGCAACGACCTCGTTGTGAAGGTATTTATATCAAATCGTCCTGCAATGTAAAATTAATCGTTGACATTTCCAGGCTCTTCATTGGGGATACGGCTTTCTTAACATAATCATCAACAAGAAAAATTAACGTTGCAACATATTTACTCATTAATCGAATGAACTCCAAATATCCGAATAAATTCTCGACGAAAGCTTTTATTCTCCGATTGTTGCTTCCATTTTCCCGACGCCTCGAGAGCCCTTTAAATCACCCCCATTATTCCTGCTAATTTCATCGGGACGTAAGTGCGTTTCTCGCTTATCGCGCCTCGCGAAAAACAAAAAACCCCGGCGATTTTCTCTCTGCCAGCGCGCGAATCCGTGATATATTGCTAGGTTAATTCTGTTTGGCAAACGGAATACGACTTTGCGCCTTTTGTCGCAGGACGATTGACGGGCGGAATCGAACGTAACGGGGGCGCGAAAAAAGTGCTCGCGACCCCCGAAGGACGAGGCCGTTTTCGTTTGTTTGTTTTTTCCGGCGCTCGACGGGCATTGTGTCGTCCGGACGGCTCGTATTGTTTCGGGCGAATGGAAAAAAATCCGGTGGAAAGAATGTTAATGGCGATTGGAAATTGGACTGTTATTTTCCGCGAAACACCGAAATGGAATTAAAGCGTTGATGTATAGAATTATTTTCTAGCGCCTCTGATAACGAATTATAACGCTTATCGAAAGCTTTTCTCCTAACAGATGGCGTTGATAATCTGGGGAATTTGTGGTAAATCCCTATTGGAATTCTATTGAAAGGTGATGTAATAAAACTTAAAATGTTTTATACAATTTAGGTTGTTCTTATAAATTTAAACGAGTATTTAATAGTACATTTCACTTATCTACTTAAGGTCTGAATAATCCTTTTCCATTATTTTTGTAATGCTGGCTGCTCCTGGAAAAATAAGATTTCGTTAAAGTGGAAGAACAAATAACATTATCTTCGTTCGCCAAGTTTCCTTATAAATCCTGGCCGAAGTCCTATCTACTTAAAACGGGATGGTCTAGTGAAATTCACGAATCGAACACGATCCCGAAAAGCGCTGAAAAAGCTAAAGGACTTTTCGGTTAGTGAAAACAAGTCGAGCGAGTCTCGGGTATTTCTATTTAAAAAATTTAGCATATTTTATCGGATTTCTCGATCGGAGTCGCTATCGGCTTATTATAGGCGGATTTGCCGTATAAAAAAAAGGATAAAGGATAAACTGATTCGAAATAGAGCCAATTCCTGTAAGGACTTCAATCCCTTGAAAGACTTTTAATGAAATAAGGCTGTTCATTTTCGGCCGTTTCCTCGAAAAATGCTTTCTCTCGTTCCGCCGCCCCTTTTGTGCCGAAATGAATGAAATTCGAGAACGAGCGGCCGTTCCCGAAGGATCCGTTTCAGCCGGAGATAATATTATTCAGGACCCTTTTATATTATTATTTGTTATCCATTCCGTTTATTCGCGCAAGGGTCGGAATCCGATGTATATGTATCGCGATTTTTGCTGCATCCCTGTACGCGTTTTTCCCACCTCTATTTACCCTTTCGCAATAAATATCTCCGATTTTTATAGATAGAATCGAAAAAACGTTCTGTCGCTAATCGAGCTTATTGCGTTCGATCCGGCAAAATACACATCGAATAATTTGTTTTTGAAGCTTTGTTTAAATATTCGCCCATTGATGGATTATCGCGTTTATTTCAATTTTATGAGCTTTGTTTCAGCCTAGCGTAATTTCCTTTGGTAAATAGAAAACATGTAGCGATAAAACCCGAACGTTTCAATTCGAAATTAGTGCGATTTTGATCGCAAAATTCATTTTAAAACAGCGCCATATTATATTTGCCGCAGGAATTAATGAAGAGGCAGAGATGGGTATAAGTGGAAAAGGATCATCGACCTTCGGGATTTGATGTTTGTGGATGCTCCCAAAGGAAATCCAAATCCTCTTAAATAAATTGGTTAAATTATATAATTTGTACGTTTAATGCCCGAATATTTCATGGAAATTGGATTAATGACAAATACATTTTCTGATGGTTTTGAAATAGCTGGATGCTCGTTAATATGTTAATTAACTCTTTAGGGGAAGAGATCAACTCACTTTTAGGCATGATTGACTCCCTTGGGTGTTTGATGGATTCTACTGTATTGTTGATTGACTCTATTGGGTGTTTAATTGACTCTATATTAGGTGTATTTGATTAACTCTATTGGATGGATGTTATTGGGCGATTGATTGGGTGTTTTATCAACACTATTTGGCTGTATAAATAAATTTTGTAACGTCTAGAATATTGCACCTTCTGGGTACATATTCGTTGTAATTTAATTTAAACGCTAGATTGAACCTTCTGAAAATATTGGAGTTTTGAAAGCAGTAGAATTAATAATTTCGCGCTTGTTAAATCAGTGGCGTTGTTAATTCGCACTTCAAGCAAATATTGAAGCTATAACTCGAGGATATTAAAAAAGTTAGTGATATAAATTGTGCAGACGTTCGTGCTATATTGGTTCGTAAAAGTCGAGGATAAATCCGCTCCATCGGCAACAGAAATTGAGCCACTTTTCAGTAAATTTCGTTGCAATCGAGTTTCCTCTATTTTTCACCGTGCAATCGGCTATTGTTGTATACGTATTGTGCAAGCTTTTCGATTTAATTATAGACAGATCAAAAGGAGGTTTTCTCGGTGAACTAATTAAAATTTCCTGTTTTAATCACTTTATGAACATAACGTCTAGTTAACACGTATAATTCCAAGTCCCTGGCGGAAGTTCGAGGCTTTCAAATATGCAGAAGGTATCACGGAAAACTCTCGGAAATATTACGGCTCGTACGTTTTGTGTCGGTTTCAACATGTCGTTTCCCACAGGATTTATTTCGTTTGCCGAATTTTCTTTGCACATATGTGCAGGATGGAGAATTATGGCGCGCTTTCCATGTACCAGATTTGTTACAAATAAGGGTAGTTTGTTATAACTTCTACTTTAATGCGGAGGTGACATCACAAACTTTAATAAGGCGGCGTTGCCGTAATGGGATTTTTTCTTTGTAATTCGTGTCGTTTATTTCTTTTTATTTTCGCAGAACTTTCAACTTTGCGACGTTCTGCTGGAATTAATGACACAAAAACGTTTTTTTTAAATCATCTTTTTTTGTTCGTCTCAAAGGGGCCGAGTAGTTTTTACTCGCATCGTCAATTAAATACACGTCTTCCATACAAAAGGCCGTTCTTTTTGTATGATTTACGCTTTACACGGTGTTTCGCCGTACGCAAAAAACGGATACAAAGGACGAAAAAAATGTCCCAAACAGAACCGGACCCTAAGAATTCGCAGAAATAAATTTTTATTCGCAACATTAACCTCGCCGGCATTATATATTTTTTTCTCCAAAATCCAAAAAGAACCCTCCGAGAAGCCAATAAATTATTCACCTGAACGCCACTCGCTCGGTTACTGGGTGGTGCTTTCTTCGTCGCTAGAAATCACCCCGGGGCGCATCGTTCAATTAAAAAACTCGAGGCCCCTTCTTGCGCCTCCTTATGAATTTCGTACATCCCTTGTTTGTCGCATTTGAAATGTAAATCCCGTCAAAGCTCGAGCGAGCGCGAAATCAGCCCCTGTTCGGGTAATTGCGAAAAATCTAAATAAATTTTCTGGAGGTCGTTACCGAAACGAGAATCCCTCGCAATTCTTACACCGGAAAAATTGTGTATTGTTTTCACTGCAGGTTAAAAAAGTGGTGGAAACGTAATACTCCTTCGCCATTTTCTCATTAACTTAAAATGTGTACCAGGTGTAATATATTTCTGGAGAAGACTTAATGTTGAAACATCTTGTGAAGGGCAATAAAAGTTTACCTCGCAGCATATCGAAAGGTGGAATATATCGGTTTTGGTATTGTGTCTAAAATAAAAGAATGTGGGCCATCCGTTTTCGAACGAAAATAAGGGAAAAGAAAACGTCTTTTGAGGATCCATACGGATCGAGCTTGCTGATTGATGCCCTTTTAAAACCCCTGGCTCAATAAACTTTATTGGTAGATGTCTTTGATGCCAAGCTAACACATAAAGGAACTATATTCCCTTATTCCCGAATCGGCTGTAGCTAGAGAAAACAATTAAATAAATACAAAAAAAGTACAAAATAGCAGGAACACAGTGGTTACAATTATTTACACTGCATCGTAGATTATTAATTTTTGATAATATCTTTAAGAAACTCTTCATTTACCATTTCTTATAATAAAGTGTCGGAAAATGGAAAACTCGTAATGCCATTTTTTACGGCTCGCGTTGTTTGAATTTTAAAGAGCGCTTCGTGCCCGTTTTGTTGTTTTTTTATTATCTTTTTTAGCATATTACGATTAATATTTCGCGAATTTTAACTCGCAGAATATAAATTATGAGGCTGGAAATAAAATTAACATGCGGCCCGGGACGTCCTTCAGCAAAACTGTCACGAAACTGGATATCCTTCAGCCTACCCCGTGGAAGAGACAAATAATTATCCGAGGGATGAATACATTGAGAAGAATTACTTAGATTGAAGCGTTTGTTAAAACTCACCAATAGCTCATTTTTCTCGAACAATGGGGAGTATTGATGGAGAGAAGGGCAAATTGAAGTTGATTAAAAAAAGCAGGTTGTTTAATTAAAAATTAAATGAAATTTCTGTTAATGAACAAACGAATCAAACGTAATTACCGTTTGTTTTTTTTGGAATGATCGAGTTTCGTGCGAAATTAAATTCTTTAGCGACGTTTGCAACCGAAATTATGCAATTTAAAGGGGACTGGTTTTATGTAGTCCACGAATCTGATAAACGATGTACGCATTTGAAATTGGATTCTCTGTTTCAGGAAAATATCTCACTTATCATTCCCTGGGTGATAGGATTTATAACGTTCATGGCCCTGGAAGCGGTTTCCATGGTGTATTCCAACGTCCTCAGGGATCATGTAAATAAAGTAAGTTTTTCAGCGACACACGGCGAAATTGAATTGGATTCTTGCTTTGTAGCGCGCGCGTTCGCGACGCCGGCGAAATTTTTCTGGAAATCTCTCCGGCGAATTGCGTTGTAGAAATTATGAGAAAACTTCGCTGCGAAATGTGGGTTAAACTAATTTAGTTCGCCGGCTTTTCCAAAACGCAACACCTGACACCTGTTGGTCATTAATAACGCTTTAGGAGGAACTTTCTTAGACGGGGCGCTAGTTCATTTTTCGCAGGAAGATGCTTTACGTTTCGCTCTCTCCATTAATCAACTTTTCACGTCCGGAAATAAAGGAATCCCGAAGGTGATGCTGGCGATTTTTCCGCGTTACCTTCGACCTTCCGTAACGCTAGAAAAATGTTATCCTGTTGTTTTTAATTTCCATCGATTTTTTCCAGCTTGCGATTAATCTTCTTGATAATGTGCCAGAAGTAAAGTGTGAATTCTAGTAATTCCTCATTTTAATCTGGAAAAGCTAATTGCAGGGTGTTATTCAAAGAGCGCTCTCCGTATTTTCTAAAAATATACGAGTGCAATTTAAAATTTAAATTTTCGCCAGCGAACTAAATTTATTCCCGTTTCTAATTTAATAAGATTTTAACTTGCATTTGAATTTCCCTCTAAAAGTATCGTTAATTTTTTCGCAGGAATTCGACGCCCTTTGCAAGGCCGAGGTGGCTTTTTTCATTTCCAGAGTTTTCATTAATGTAAGTAAACTTTAAAATCCATTAGATACTTTTAATTGTATTTTACATTTTTTTATTTCACATTATTAGAGTATAAATTCGATTTAGCTTCTTATCTTTTTCGCTAAAAGCTCCTACTTTTCTAAAGTGATATAAATTAAAGCGAACTTTCAAGGAAAATAAACTACCATTTTCTCTTTGACTTTTCACGTGCTCTTTTATAAACACATCTAATGGATTAGATGGCATAATTTAAAGCGAGAAGACTCGAGCAACAGCGGAAAACTATAAAAGAGAAAAAGTTTGTAGCTTCTGAGAAAATTGCAACGCCACCTCGGATCATTCGGAAAAAATCAACCGAAACTCCCCGGAATGTTTCGATGAAAAACCAGAAGTTTTTATTGGATCTAACAAGGACCCCAGATACATATCGACTGCGAGGCAGCGAACTTTCCGCAAAATCCCGAACATTCCAGTCACGTACCGACCGACAAAAGGGGAAAAACTTTGCATCCAATAAATGCCAAATTACCATTCGACGTATCGCAGTCTCCCAGATTAAGTTTTCAACGTTTCAAAGCGCCCCATAGCAATTGATGTTGCTCGTAAAACTCCCCGACGATAAATTCGAATAATAGCCGGTTTTCCAGATGCTCGCCATCGGCGGCGTGATGCGCTTCAGCAACCTGCTGCGCGCCGGCATCTCCTGGAAGGGCCCCGAGGTCATCGAGCTATGATCCAGAAATTCCCTTTGCGACTACGACTACGACGACGACGAGGACGTCTTCGACTCGGACAGCGATTGCTCGCTCTTGGTTAGAGTGTCTTCATCCGGTTCCGGAGTTAGCGCCAACTCGGACTTCGTGTGACACATGAGGTGCTCCAGGGGGTAAATTTTCTATCTACCTTTACTTTATACAGGATCTCTCCGAAGTCTCTACCACTCAAGAGCGATGATGGTAGGTGTCAGGGTGTTGCAAAAATAGTTCCAAAAAATTGAGTCTTGAAATGTTTACATGCAGGGCAACGATATTTGTATATAAATTATCCATTAATACATCTTTTTTTGCAAAGTTTGTAAAAACGCCCTATTTGGATTATCCTTATTTTATTCGGAGATACTCTGTATAAATTTCATTTAATGAAGCATTATTTTATTACATTATTTTTCAAACATCCTACATAATAAGAAACTAATTTATAATGAGATTATGAGATAAATTTACCCTAAATATTTTACTGTACGTAATTACCGTGGGACTTTCATGTACAGCATTGTGTAAAAAAATGTCGTGCCAAATGTTAGATACAAATGATATAGTTATTTAATATTTTTCTATAGAAATACTTGTACGTATTACGTGTAAGCCTATCTATTTAATCTACAGAAGTATTTACGTTGATATGAATCATTTAGATATTTATCCTAGCATTTCCCGTATGTCTTTCATGTGACGAGGGTGTAAAAAACACCCCTTGGGCGACGTAGTAATAAGCAAAAGGCTACAAAATTTACAACAAAATTATTTTCTAAAGAGATTTTTATATCCCGTTCTACAAGCTTCGACGAGAAAAGATTGTTTCTACTGCACCTCGGGAATTTAGCAAAATATAGCTGAAAATTCCGTCGCGTGGAAAACGTTTTTCCATCTAAGCGAAATTATTTTAACGCCGGACTCTCGGGCGTTTAATAAGGTTCTCTACTGGAATCCATTTAACGCTCTGCTACCGGCTACCAGGTAGTTAACGGTTAGAGTTAGAGCTTAGAGTTAGAGCGATACGACAAGTCGACTCGCTTTGTAGAACGGACATGCAGAATAACTTATTATTTGAACCTCGTAAGTTACGAAAATTTGACAATAACGACATACGAGGGTGTACCTACAAGTACCTGATTTTTTTTTCCACATTATTTTATTTATTATATTAACGAACATTTTATTGTAAATATTGTATAAAAGTAGTTTCAACTAAAAAATACGCTTTGTTACCTCTCTAAAAAATATCACTGTATACATAATCATACTCTATTCTTAATGTAAACTAAACATATACCTATAAATATGTGTGCAAAATAAATAGTTGTTTTAGAAAGTGTCTTAAAGGCCGGTTTTACATTACTTTAAAAATTAATATTCAGAGTGTAGAATCGGCCCTTAAAGTGTTTTATTTCATTCCGAACTTCTTCGACATACTCGGAGGTGTGGTAAAAAGTGGAATCCAAAGTGAATTAGTTCCTCGGGAGAAATATTACGCGGCTCCCACGGCGGGGCGCGCTCCCCGACGTTCAGAGCGGCGTAAATTATTCCGGGAGAACGAGCTCCGACGTGTTGCAGCCGTAAATCCGTGTAGGAACGACCGCTGAAAACCGCATCTTCAGAAATTTCCCCGAGAAGAGTGTAATATTCTAATAAACGGAGATTATTAGGCGAGGTAAGTAAGAGGTGAAGCTCCGTTATTAGCTCGAGGGAGGAATTTTTGCGAGTAATAAAAAACGAGGTTAGTGGGAATTTGTGTGAATCAACCTTCCATTCTCTGGGCCCTTTTATGTCAACCTGCTAAACAAACTCGCTTTCGTAAAGGTTAAATTTACCGTTTCAATAAAGCAATTTCGTCCGCCGCGCTTCGCACTGAATACGAACAATAAAATGTGTACGGTAATTCGGGAATAAAGTTAAATGGACCGAAGTCCTCCCTTACCTTACCTTACCTGTTTCGTTGCGTTTGCGAGAAAACTCGCCCGCCACAGGCGTAGAAAAAAAAAACTCGCGAAAAAAAATCGATATCAAATTTAGATTCCTGATATGTTCTTCATTGAAAATGACATCGCCTGAGTGGCTCTAAATCCGGCAAAGCCATATAGACTTTCTCCATTTGCGCCCATCGGGATAAGTCCGATTCCCGCGAGACCGTCCCCATACACTCCGACGCCACTAAACTTTTTCCCTTTTCCAACCAAATTTAATTAGTCGTTAAAATTTTCTTACAACGTCGTACGACGCGTGCTTATGGTAATGTAAGTTGTAGAAAGCATAAATTCCGGCGAGCTAAATAGCACCCCCGTGTAAAACACTCCGGACGGAAGGAAAAAGAAATCCGGGAAAGAAAGTAGCAAAGGACGCGGTACGGTATATGATGAATAATTTATATAATCCCGAATGCAATTCGGTTTAAATTGGATTAGTCGGGGAATGAATATCGGCGGTCCCGGTTCGATGATATTTTAAATTCAAATTATTTGGTGTCGTTAAATCAAACGGCCTTCTGCGCCAATATGCACCTGAAAAGCCAACTTTTTAACTCGCCTATTTAAACGTAGGGGAAATTATAGCCTGCAATTTCATGAATATTATAAGTAATAAATTGGGCAAGGTGTAAATATGCTCCAATATCGATTTAATGCTTAAAAATAGAGTCGAAAGGAAAGGAATTTAAAGTAGATTTTTCGTTATTAATTTATAGCGAGGATTCCATTGAATTTTATTCGACTAAATTATGCAAAAACCTTGTCTTTTATTTTTAATTACGTTATTACGCATTAGTATTTTTCGTGCAGTGCCTCAATAATGAATATAACCCTTAATATTACAAGATTTCAATGTTTCTTCTAGACTTTATGCGAATATTTTAGAAGGGGTTGGTCGAAAAATTATGCTCATTTATCTTAGAAACACATGACCAGTGAAACAAGGCAATTTTCTAACGCTCTAGTAGTGATGAATATAAAGGATTTTGAGTGCGAAACGATGCTTTATTCTCTGTGAATTTCGAATAACAACTAATTCGCAGTTGGTACGTCAGTTAGAGCACCGCATTCTGCTCTAAATAAGCCATTATTCCAACCGAAGCTCTAGTTTAAATTATGCTATTCATTTGCTGACGAACATGCGAAGTCAGCCCGGAGCCTTGCGAGTAAATTTTAAGAATTTATTTCCAACCTATGCAAATCCCCGTGATATTCAACAAGGGCGCCACCTTTTTGCATGCAAACGATTTCGGGACAATAGGTGATAAATAGAAAGTCGTGTGGGTAACAACCTAAAGTAATTTATTCGTAAAAATTTACAAATACTGACTTGTCGCGAGATACAGTATCTATTTGCGTTTTGAAATCCAAGAATTTGTATATTTTCATTGCCGATAGTTGTAAAAAAAATACGTCCGAATATGATATGTATACTTCTAAATTATCCTCTAACTTAAGCCTAATTTGTATAGTCGAATATTTTCTAGCGAAAATAAAATATGGAAAGTTGACTAGCTTTTAATCGTGTGGTCCAAAAATCCCCGTCCGCGAGGAATACGAATCAAAACAGATTTTCCCCGCTCTCTTTCAGCGCCTTCATCGCGTTGTCGATTTTCTCCTTCAATATAGCCCTGATTTCTTTGATGGGTTTGACTAAAATTATAGGAACATGATCGTCTTGTCTCTGAAACAAACGCACAAAATTAATCTCGTTTCTATCAAATGGTTATTTAAACAAAACTCACTTGGAATAAACACTCTCCTTCGAAATCGACTAACTTATACTTCCGAGCTCTTAATAGTATCCCAACAACTTTATCTGATATGCCAGTGTAGATCTGCAAAAAGGTGTTAAATAGGATATTTTTTCTACGATTAATTGGTAGCGGCTTACCGAAAACAATTCCCCGAAACTGATGACGACTCTGGGATCGTCGGGTTTTTCTTCTGGCGGAAATAATCGCTCGCCGCATTGGTAAATGATATCGCAAAGCTCCAGCATTTCCCTGCTGACGTGTATGGTCGCTTTAAATGCCCTGAGTTCGGATTGAGATCCTTTGGGAGGTCTACGAAACGTTTCAATATAGCCAATGCAATTGCCTAATAGAAAATAATCTTACTTTCCGTATTCTTCTTTTGAGATCGAAGGTCTGGGTAGACTTCCAGCTTGCTTTCCGTTGGAGAACGGGTTAACGGCTTGTCCTTGGATGTGCGCGTTGGCAACTTTGTTGAATAGAGCTACTTTTGAGGCGAGTGGAGAGTCCTGTTACATAAGAATAGACTGGTTATTTTCGTATATATTTTTGAATAATGGCTTGGAGAATATTTCGCGGCTGATGTAGTGGCCCTATATCTAATGGCAATCCGATGGTATGTGGGAAAATGTCGGGCTTATGCTTTGGCGAGTGGAGTCGTTTGGAATCCTGCCACGTTTTTTGCGTTTTGCGAAAAATCGCTGAATATCCAGGGAAAAATCGAATTTGCGTCTAATCGATGGGATTCGCTCGGTGTCCTGGTATCGGGTTTTTTATTAGTGCAAGGTCGCTTATTATGATTGCCGGAAATCTACGTTATGGAAGGACTTAGAAGGACGATCTATTTATAGAAGGGAATACGATCGGAATTTTATTTGTCCTCTTTGGCAAATTATTGTCTTTTTGTCTTTTATTTGTAAAATTTTTGATTTGTTTGCTACTGTTTGAGGAATTATTGTGGTGTATCTATGTAGAGAAAATTGCAGGTGACTAAAGAAGAATAATTGTACAAATTATTTAAAATAAAATAAAAAAATTCAAAAAAATATGGTAGGTATTTATGTTTTTAAATGTTGTGGAAACTACAATAACTTCTAAAAGATTTTATTTAATTCCTATAAACTTTTAAAAAGTGTTTTATATAATTTTTATTTCAATCTTAAAAAATCCAATTTAAATATCTATTATTTATTATAAATCTTACTTTCCTATCTGATTTTTTGAAAATTATTTTCTACAATTAGCAATCAATAATTTTTACAAAACCCACATCAATGGAACGGTTTCTACATTCGCCAAGTATATGCTTAACTAGAATATCAAAAATCTATGTTTGAAATATTCTCCAATATTTTAAAATAATCGTAATTAAACAATATTTAATACTTACAACAAAAACCCTTTCGTTAACACACGCAGACATATTTACAATTTTACTAGTTTACAAAAAGTTTTACTCAAATATCGCACTGTTCACGAATAAATTTCTATCACTTGTGCACACTATTTTCCACAGTCGAATCAACAGTTTTTTGCTGGCCGGCGAAATTATGAATGCATCAATTTTATGTACACACAACGTTTATATTCCCGCGTTGTGGAATGCGCGAAAATAAAACGAAACGTCGTCGCGACGACGACGCCGCTCCACGTCCATCCGTGACGTCGTCATTTTTTACATATTTTCGAAATCCGCTCGGCGGATTCATCCCGTCGGCATTCTTTCGCCGTTAATGAATCGCTTTTCTACGAAACTCTTCAATGGAAGGCCGGACGCGAAAATGTAGGAAGTGGGCGCCGGCCGAGAAAATATTCCAGCACAATTTCCAATTTTATCACCTGAATTTATTTATTTTTTTATTTGCTTCAAATTCTAGTATTGTAGCAATAATTTGTTAATACAGTACATGTTATAATGGGTGTTTATTGAGTCTAAAAGCCAGGGAAAATATACCAGAATTTACAATTTTATTACCTTAAATTATTTATTTTTGTTTGCTTTATATTCTACAAGTGTAGCAGGATTTATTCACTATAAGCCATACAAATTATTTCAATGCAGTATACATATTACAATACTCCGTTTATAAAGTATAGAATAATGCTGATGTTAGGTATAACAAAGCAATTTTCCTGCTTTATACATAATTATACATCTCCTGCAAATTCCTGTAAATTAGCAATCGCATCGATTCCGTTAGTGACTTTATTATTTTTTCGTCGCGATAAATTATCGACGAACCGTGCCAGATATGCGAAAAATTGCCAAGTCCAAGGGCCCAATCCAAGTTTAGCGTCTCTGACGCGCGATCCTGAATGCTGCAAATGGGCCGGAAAATGCCGAAACTCCGCCAATTCATCTTTCGACCGATTATTTGTATTAACTAATTGTTTTTTATCGCCATTAAACGGGCGCGTTTGATCGAACGAGATGCACGGGAAGCGGCCTTTGGTGTGGTATTTATTTCTTAAATTTAGATTCCCAAATTAAATTTATGGAGCCTTGGATTCGTCCTAGCGGATCGGACTGAAAAGTAAACATCGTTCATATAGGAATTCCGTGGTTTTTTTTTCACAATAAAATCTCTAATTTTAAATAATGCTATAAAGCTTTAAACACAAGGTGGTTCGGATTGTATTGTAGCAATATCGTTTCGGCTTTAATCAATCACCCTATATTATATGTAATTAGAATTTTACGCGAGCTATAAAATTGTATTGTATTGTACTTGATAGGAAGGTTATAATAAAAATTATTGTTCTCAATAGGCAATAAACTTCAGCGGAGTGAAAAATTGTATAATATTTTTATTAATAAAAACGTAGTAAATCCAGACGCTTCCGCCGATAAACGACTGGCGCCTGCTAAAAAAAATTCGAAAATTTTGATTTATCAACCGAGAGAAATATTTAATATCGAAATGTCGCGCTTGTTTTTTTGCAGGAATTTTTGCGGGTTTTTATTAATTGTATGACGTCGATGGGATAAAGGAAAATAATATTTTTTTCGATACATTCAGAGGTTTCACTGTAAAGCATTTTTAATAGAATTGATGACTGGCACAACCTGGACCTTTCTAATGCCAATATAATTTACTTGTGTAATTAAAAATTCCCAAACTTTTGCGGTACATTTCAAACGCGAATTGTCCGCAGGGGTTATTTTAAAATACCGAGCTTTTCGAAAATTTGGCACAATTTCAATTATTTCGAACTACTACATAAGGACAGGTTAATTATAAGGAAAATTGTTTATTATTTTTGTTCATATAATCAAACCAATTTTATTTATATTACTCCCTCAGAGATGATTAATGTATAAACATTTTTCTTCATCACAATATTAAATATTCTTATTAGTAGGTAAATACTTGAATATTTTAAGTTAGATTAAATTAAGTAAAGACAAATTATAGTGTTTGATATGATAAATCTAGCGCGTTTTTTAGACAAAACACTGGCATACTGTGCAGTGATAATTTATATAAAATTCTATTTTTTTACAAATTGCCAGACATGGTGCGGTGCCAATTCTGCCGGCGTACTTGTGCTTTCAACTTGACCGGATGTACACTTGAACATAAAAATAATAAAAATAGATGTTTTTACATTTGATGAATATCTGCGCTTAAGCTCGCCTAGTTCGACAATTAATTTCGGCTGAATTTAATCCGTGGAAAACGATGCTTTCCTTCACCGTATTTTGTCAGGGTTCTGGTCGGGGAACCGCTTGGAATGGTTGGGAAAGGTTGTTCGAAATAAACCCGAAATCCTCAACCTGTTCGCTCATGTCAAAATGAAATATTTTGGAAATTCTCGGTAAATAATATCGTTGGAAAATACCGCGAATTTTTAGATTTTTGGGTTTTATATAAACATTTTTAGTGAAAGCGTATAAATCTGGACACTTTGATGTATGTTTCAAAAACAAAAATAATTGTGTGTACTTCCACAAATATTTAAATTAAAGATTAAATCGTACATTTTGTTCTATCAATTTAGAAACTCACGTTAAAAAAATTCGTGCGCATGAATATTAAATTAGTCTAAATAAGTAAATTTTATTATTTATATAAGAATTGCCAAAATCGACATACTAATACGATTATCCAGTTTTAGTAATTTTTTAATACAGGTACATATAAAAATAAATTTAAGTTATCCAAATAGTTTTCCATTGTATAACAACACAAATATTTCTATTACTCACTAATATATCTAACATTCGCATTTATTGATTTGTTATATATCAATCTAAAATTCAGCAACATTTTCGAATTTCATTTCGTCATAAAATAGCAGACAATTGACATTTTTCCGCTTTACTTCAGATCAATCACCGCTCGGATTTTGTTTTTATATATTCCAAAATATAAATTGTAAAATTCGCACATCGATAAACAGAAATACCAAACACGCGCTTCGTGTCAATTAAAATTCTTCAAAGAGCTATTTCTGGCGGACGCGAACTTGAAATTTTATTTTTATTTGCACATCGACTAAAGTTTTCACTTTAGAATTTTCCAGATAACTGAATAATTTAGTGAGACTACTTCTAAAAATTATACCTTAATTAGACATAAGGGTGTATTCTTTAATGTAATAACAATGATTATGAAATGTAGGTTAACATTTACAAGTAGTATTTGAACAGAAAATATATTGCGATTGGAAATCTGAAGAAAAAACGCAATTCTTTAACGGTTTTGTTTTCATTCGCCTTTGCGAAGGTCAAGTGTATGGTTTAATATGTAAAGCGTTACGTAAATTTCTCTTTTTAACCGACGCCCGGCGTCCAAAAATACCGACCGTCTTTTAAAGATAGAACAGATAATATTGATTTTTCATTCGCAAACTCCAGCATTGATTTTTAATATTAATATATCTACCTCGATTCTTGTTTTGATATCCGGTTAAATTATCACGAAAATAGTTTGTTTGTTGTTATTTCGAAAAATTATTTTAGGAAAAATTAATGCTGAAATGTCTACTAATAGTGGGTATAAATTATTCCGGGATATCCTGCGGGTTTGTGAATAATATAAACATCGTACACTGGATAGATGCAATAAACAACATTTCATAGTAATGACAGGAATTTTGACAGATAATCTGTTAATTAATTTACTTCTATCACATATGTCAACACATGAAATAAATCTTCCGTCAAATTATTCATGTCATTTAAAAAGGACATTTGCAAATTCATGCACTCTTCTTTTTTTGTGTTCCATGGATATTAATTTTCTACGAATTAATTTCCCTCTAATATTAATTTCTACGAATTAATTTCCATGACCATCAAGATGTTTACGTCGAAATTTCTTATCTAATCGGGCTATTAGTAAATTGGGCATTAACATTAAATTCAAATTTATCGACTTAACCCCCCCTAGGAGATTGATTTGCAACTGCGTTTGTTTACAAAAGGCCTACTTAATTGAAAACATCCTTTCTCTATCAGCTATCATATCACTATCACTGAAGTTTTTCGAGTGTACAGATAACGCAATAAAATTCTTGGTAAGTTTCTGTTATTTATCTTATTCAAAATGCTATCGATTTATCGATTTTTTTCATAAAGATTTCCCGACAGTTTCGAGATTTCTGTAAATTTTGTTGAAAATATTTTCTGATATGTTTGTTTATTGATTGAACGTTGCCAGTATTAAAATTTTAAAATAAAAATGCCGGTATTAAAATTTATCCTTCTTCTTCGAGTTGGTTGAAAAAACTGTGTGAAAAAACGTGAAAAAACTACTAGTAGTTTTTAAAATTAGTAGATAAAGAATACATGTGGATAATTTGGAGGTGACTTTTGGCTCGCACTGTATGCTTGTAAAGTATATTCCATTCAATATCTTCATTTCTACCTACTTTTTGTCTTCTGTAAGTACCATAGATAGAATAAAAAGCTTCCACCTCTGCTTGTTAAATTTTCTAAATATAATGGATAAAAATACCAGTAGGTATGTTCATTTCTTGAGAATTAGGATACAAAATTTAAGTTTAACTTTATCGAATTGTTTGTATTGCGAAATTAGATTTGTAAAACCCGCTTACTGCAATAACCTCTCTATTGCACTGTCCAGTGTCCTAGCAACGTTCCTAATATATACTGAGGGAAAAAGCAACTGTATAAGTGACATTTAAAACCTGCACTCTTTAATTCCGCATGTTTTTACGGTTTTGAGTAAGTTCGGTCGATATTTTTAATACTTTTCTCTATTAAAACAGAATTGAGTAATCGTGCGAAATATTGAACATATTTACAATCGAATTACGTTTAGAATTCATTCGGTCGAAACGTGCTTACTTATATCACACTACCGTTGACTTGTTTTTACAGATATAACGAGAAAAAATGGCCCTGAACAATTTGTCCGCGCGCGAGCATTGCGATTACCCTAAAATCATCGAAAACGGCCAGATAGTGGTCGTCAACAATCCCCTGATGCTCTATTCCCCGGCCAATTCCAACGACTGCTCCCTAATGTTGAACACGTGCAGGGACACGAATTTCACGCAAAACCTGCCCGAATTGGTGCTCGACACAAGGTACTTCCAATACGAGGGCCAACAGAACATGCCCAAGCCGGTGTTCGATTTCTCTCGCAGTTTCGAATTCGCCCATCGAAATCGATTGGAGGAGAATCTGTCGGTTTTGGAAGTGTTCGACAACGAGCCAGATAAGCCCGAATTCATTGACATTAGTAAATTGTCAGAACTTAGCGAGAACAAAGCGAGCAGCATCGACGGTTGCGACGTGCTCGAGCTGAGCGACGATGAGGTTATATTCGTGAAGGAGTACAAAGAGAACGATGATAAACCCGAGAAGGAGCATGCTTCGAAAGCAGAGGGCCCGATTCGAAGGAACCCGGTGAGAATGGTGAGGAACAAGTCCAGGGATCTGTCCAAAGAGTTGCTGTTCGAGGAGGATTTCGCCTTTTTGGACGTCAGCGACGAGGAAACCGAGGATAAAGAGAACAAAGTGAGTAGAATTGTGTTGAAATTGTTGGAACTTTGACAATTGCTGAATTGTTCGTTTAGTCAAACTCATCGCGAATTGATTTTAGTTAAATGTTAAGAAATCCCCGACGGTTAAGCTGCCGAAGGAATGGCCGGTGAACGTGCACGAACGGCCGGAGTACAATCCGGTCACCAATAACATAGAATCCTTCGATTATACGATAAGAGAAATCCAGGAAACTGCCTCAGTGTTTAAGAAACCCAAAACCGATGCCGTTGTACCTAAAAAACCCATTAAAAAGAAACCCGTGGCGGTCAGAAGAAGAACCAGAACACCTAAAGAAACCAAAAAATCCCCCATAGAAGAATTGAAACCTCTAGTCAACACCACCACCGACATGTTGAAAGATTATTTCGTGAACAGTAAAAAACACAAAGATTTGGTCTCTACCAAATCGGACATTTGTAGTTTCGAGAATAAGTTAGAGATTTTAAAAAACCAAGCATTTTTGTTCGCCATAGTTAATAATTTAGACGAAAACGAAGTCATGGAGAAATTTAAGTTACTGAACGTCGATACCGAATCCAAAAGTTAATATTTAAGTAAGGTGCTAATTTATTTTTTGATTGCTTGAAACTTGTACATAGGATGTTCGCTGTGTTAATAAATTATTTACGATTTTCCTTCAAAGTTTTGTGCTGTTTTTCACTAAAAATTCCTCATTATATTAATAATAAATTCGATAATTTGCTGGTGGCGCAACAATAGCTTCTCTCGAGAAGAAACGACTTTTATTTCATATTAATCCAGCCAGGTGACAACTTTATTAGATTTAATTATGACAAGTTGTATCTAAATGATCGAATAAGGCATTACACACTCGATGAGTTATTTATTTACCGTTTTCTCAACGATCTACCCGCTTGTATTTTTCCTATTCACTTTGGCGATGACGAGGCCATCGGTGTTAATTCCACAATATATAAAAAATAGACAGCATACGAAAATAAACAAGTACAAGCAAAATATAGCCATTATGGCCAGTTGATGTCGTCAGTCCGTCGAATGATCACTAACTGTAACGGTGGAATTTTTTTCGTAATTCTTATCGACTCTCCTGTGGTCTCTTCTGCGGTCTTTCCTGTTGTTTCGATACTCCTCTTCGACGCTCTCTTCCGAAAAAACATCTTCTAATTGCCTTTTACCTACACTCACAACAAAATTAATAACACACTTAACTAAAATAAAACACTCAAAAAAATTACCTTTCGAATCTCTATCAGTACGCTTCAATTTCTGCTTCATCATCCTCCTCGTTTCCCTATCTCCATTATCCACAGCACTTTTAACTCTCTGCGAGTGATTCCTAGCGCTTGTCTGAGAACTAGCCGTGGAATATCCAGTGTCTTTCCTTGTGTTCGTTTTTCTACACAAAAGAAATGCATACAACACAATTAATTACAAACAAACAATCATAAATACTTGTGTTTCCTAATACTGCTAGTACCGCTTCCATCGCTATCACTGCTATCGTCAGTCACTTCGCTCCTTCTGCTGCTGGCGCTCTTTTGGCTCTTCATCGTGCTGTGCCTCCTGACGCTCTCCTGCTGCACCCTGGGCCTGCGCCTTCTCCTAGGCTCGAACGTGAGGTCGCTCCTGGATAAATTCGAGATGATGGATACCGTGGAGGCCATTTCGACGTCATTTTGGTCCGTTTTAGTCCTGTTGTTTTCCGTGTACACAACGTACAAACGGTAAACCTGCAGGCATATCACCAGGGTGTTCTTGCAGGTGAAGAATATGTTCATGTAGGTGACGATTTTGTAGTGCATGATCAGCAGCAATCGGAACGCCAGGTACGGCAGGTCCTGGAGGGTGATGTTGAGGAGGATGCTGCATACGTCGATGTTGCAGCAATTATCGGATCTGCGGAAATATATTGATGAGATTTCGATGGTGATTGTGAAAGGGATTGTTATACTGTTCTATTGTTGATGTGGTAGTGGTGAGTCTTGATTTTCTAGCTTTAGTCGCTGTCAGGACGACTGTAAATTGCATTAAGCTCCAAGACCTGAAATCGAGTCGATTCGTTATTTGCGGTAAGTTAAATTTCGCGGTTTGTTTACCAAATGGCCAGCGTGAGCCAGACTAAAATGGGCTCTGAGGCGATTTTATCGTCTTTGAACGAATCGAAAAATTCCAGAATATCCGCCGCCGTTCCTGCAATGAACAAACACACGCTTTCTCTAATCTCTAATACATGAAACGTATTTTTCTAATTAACGTAGACGTTTTACCGAGCGGACGACGGAACGTGAAATTTTATTAAAATTAAAACGCATACCGATATAGACGAGCAACAGCTGGCTGAGTTGATCCCTCGTGAGATCACCTTTTGGCAACATCCATCTACCAATTATCAGTATCAACATGAGGAACTGTTCTATTAAAGTTATCCAAGTTTCGGTGCTCAGCGAGATCTCCGGCAATTTTATATCCACCTATTCAAACATTTATTTCGTTTATTCAACTTAATATCTACCTAAAATTTAACTTACTCCGAGCAAACTTTTCAGATCGTTCAATTGAGCTCCTGTGGTCATGTTCATTGGTAAATCCTCCAAAGCTTTCAATTTTCTCTCTACTTTGTCGAGTTCCAGCAGCCATATTGCTGGTACAATGCTCGTCAGGTACAAAAATACTGACGGACAGAACCTACAACAAAACCCTCATCTATATCTCAAGATCTTACATCTGTAGCATTCCAAAATTTACGATTATTAAAAAAATGCTTTTTGCAAATTCATAAATCATGCGAGCATAAATGAATAAAAACAAGTTAATAATAGATTGATAATCAAGAGCACGTGTAGAATTATCCTCTGGCTTGTGAATGGCGATTCCGAGCTGAATGAATCGCAATATCTGCATACCTTTCGGCTCGTTTACTACGATTTACCAGGAATCTGTTACGTTAGAACATGACGTAAACGTTATTATGATGGTGAGAAATGAAAAAAAGAAAACACAGCGTGAATCATTTATTTAAGTGGTGCGTTAACGGCACGTAGGAAGCGATGGTTCGGGTTCAAAATAAAACATGTAGCTGTAAAAATAGATTTTTGCACAAAGCGCGCCAAAAATGGAAGAATCCGATCCCCAACAATGTACTGTTTTATTTTGCTAACTTAAGTTAATATTTTATAGGAGCCATTATTTATTCAGGTGTATGTTATTGGCTTGTCTGGATAATCTTAAGGTGTTTTGAACCCTGGAAAACTCAATTGTATTTACTGTTACATGAATATAATATTGAATATACATTAATCATGTGCTCTTTTGTTTATGAGTATAAGAATTCTTTTGTATCTGGAATATAAACAATCGAGAAGCGGTGCATTTACGTTCGTATTAGTATTTAAAAATATTCTAGCATACAGAAATAAAACTTGAAAATCCATTAGTAAAACATTGTGTGCGTCAAACATTCCTTACGAATGGATAAATTTGAATGTAAGCGATGAAACGATGACTTTAACGATCCTTAGGTAGGCAGGTATTAAAACTAGAGCAGAAGTAACTTCAGAATCGGAATTAGAGAGTTATATGAACCTTTGAAACTCTCTATATAATAATATTTCTCCAGTATAATACGACAAACGATGTTTGGTTTACTCAATTCAAATTTTGATTAAACTCGAGGTTGTATGTTGCACTTGTTTTGGGAACTTATTGAGGGATCGTGGAAGAAAATTCAGAATCCGTTTCTGGCAAAAATTTAAGTGACAAACGACACTCAGCTTTCATTTCCGGACAATTTACAAGTATTGTTACGATTCCTGGGAAATCGATCCGATTTTTTATCGCCAATATTCGGAATAAGGGCGAGTTCATATCCTAAAAGGGTGCGGAATTACACTACAAGTTCGTTATTTACGCGATACGATTTGTTTAAATTTATATGGATAATTAAATAGAGATTTAAAAACTGTTTAAAGAATGAGTAACTCGAATTTTCCGAAAAAAAAATTCGAATCGGGTGAAGGATTGCTATCTGATTTTATCTCTCACTGCAAACAATACGCGATTTTAATTTACGGTTTCATTCAAAGCCATGCGACAGGCGATGATCTCATTTGCGCTCGTTTTTTACTCGAAACTGATAAATCTCGATTTCGAATTTCAGAAATTCGCGATTTCCCTACAACGAAAATTACTTATTTACTTTAAAAATAAAAGTCAAGGTCGCATTACGAGAAAATTCGCTTTTTTATTATTCGCCTCTTTTTTAGAACGTTTTTGGCTCGAATGCGGTTTGTTATTTTCGATTTAACTTAATTGAATTCGAAATTATCTACGCAACAAAGTACAATTTACTGAGTAAATTAACATAACAAATTTAAACTTCAAAGTTTCGAACTCACCAGCTCCATTCCAGATTCCTGGTTAAAGTTAAAGTTACCACTGTTTCTAATACCATAAAAAGCAACGGGATGCACAAGTACCAGTACCACTTATCATTTTTCATGTAGGCCACCTGTCCTATGGCGACCAGGGAATGAGCAATGAAAATAGTCCTTATGAAAATAGCGCGAAACACTCTGTATTTGCCCATGGTTTCGGTTCGATGGTACACCGTTTCATTATATCCCCAAATTACTCACGATTTTACCTAGCATCTAATTAGATTTATGATACTGACGACACGGAGTTTACAATTTACAATTACTTAACGTTTCGCTTTATTTTTTATCTCGCCTAATTATAATCGGTAAGTAAACGTTTGTTATTATCTTAAGTAGGTATATCTGTCTCTAGTTTCCTCTCGAATATGTTTATCAGGAAATTGTAAACCGCTAAAAAATGGTATGTCATAGTACCTGCATATTTACATTTATAGAGTGGAGGAAGGCAAAATAGTGCTAATCGAACTTACCATTTCCATTCCTGGTTTTCCTTGATGGTCAACGTGAAGATCCCTTCGAAGAAGAGCAGCAGAATGGGGGACGTGAGGTACCAATAAAAATCGTTCTTTTTGAAAATAGTGACCTGCCAGATGGCGATGAAGCCGTGCGAGGAAAACACCAGGCGAGTTATGATGCCCTTGATGGTAGCGACGATTTTCATCATATTTCCCTGTTGTGCGTAATCGACGGTTTATGGAGCGCTTCTCCATGGGGTTTGTGTGATTTTTGAGCGATTTCTGGGGCGCAACTTGCAGCAACCGGTGGGTCGAAGTTATTGGGAAATGCGCGACGCGCTTGAGTCGAAGGAATAATGGTTGCTCATCTAATAAATCATTAAGGAAACTTAAAAAATTTAACTTCCCTCGGGCATCCATTAAAGTATAAAAAAATAATTGATATTTACCGTTTGAAGTTTATACGTAACTCAATCAAGCATTCTTAATGGATAGTATGATTAAATTAATGCTTTCCAAGTAATAAATTACACTAACTGTTAATTAAGTTAATTTAACAAAATAATTATTCAACCTATTCAAATTTAATCAAATCTAGTTAGTTGACTTCACCACCCCAAGTCTTGATCATTTGTTTATACAGCCAATATTTATCCTAAAATATTTACCTATTCACCATTCACTATACAAATATTAATTTTAAATCAGCTTAAATAAATTATTGATAATAATTAACAACTACTCAAAATTTTAAATAATTTTCCAAATTTACAACTAGCTCCATCTATTACTCTCAACTCCAAAAATATATTCAACAGTGACACTAGTGACAAGTGACAGTGACATAGATACAAATCAACTAACCTAACAAAATGAAATGAATTCAATTCATTACAACAATTTCAAACATTACGCCTGTAATTGCGAATAATTAGGGATTATGTTATTACTAGATCGTAAAATAATGTTTACACACTAAGTAAGCAATTATACACAGGTAGGCGGAATTTATTTGTACTCTTTATCCATATGTGGAGTATCTATAAAGGTCAATACAATATTATTAATGTTTTAGAAATGGAAACAACTACTGCAGGATGGATAGGCCTAATAGTGGTTTTATTTTTGACCAGTTTCGGTGTAACATGGCTCATAATATTAGTAATAAGTTTGGTGTTATTTATGATAGGGTAAGTGACTTTCACAGTAAATATTAAATTACACTGATAACTGATAACACTTGGTTCCAGATTGATATCATTGTTATATGTACAACAGGGTAACATAGAAAAGTTGTATTTCAAAGGTGCTGGTAATCCATTAATATCTAATAAAGTTCGCGAAGGTGGCCTGGAACATATAGTTAAGCAACTCGAAAGTCCGAAGAGAGTTCCAAAACAGGACCACAGGGTCACCGGCAGCGAATTAATCGATAGTTCCTTACAAGAAATTCTCGGCTACGTAATCAGGGATTACGTGTCTAATTGGTACAATATTATTACCAGAGACCCGGAGTTTCCCAATGTGACTGTCCGAAGAACTGCTCAGACTTTTGCCATTAACATTTCCAATAGGTAGGAAAGTAGCTCCGTTATATCTCTAAATTAATTCGCTATCTTGAAGGGTGAAAGATGTCGATTGGATTCCGTATTTAACACAGAAATTCGTCGATGACGCTGCATCACATTTGAGATTATACAAGCAAGCCCGAGCTAAATTAAAGCTAGCAGAAGCTGCGAAAGAACAAAAAAAATCCATACAAAAAGATAAGGGATCGCCGAAAAAAAGCAATCACAAACGAAATAAAAGCGAAACCGATGTTAGTTGGTACACCGGTAGATCGAATAATGAAACAAAAAAAGGTAATCGATTAATTAATCGTTTTACAAATTATACAGGGTTTATTTCAGATGCTGATAGAATATTAGGTAATTCGAAATTTTATGTAAACGATGGCAAGAACGAAACTCTGGAGGATTATTTCTTCGAACTCGAATGCCAAATGGAAAACAATGTGATATCGAGAGATCTAGTGTGTAGAAATTTGCAAAATGAAAAAGGTATGTTAAGTAAATTGTTTAATAACATCATTTATTTGGACTCGATTGCAGATTTCTTATGCGAAGTAGTCGAAATCCTTCTATACATCCTACTTCCCGATGAAGATTTCCAATGCAAACCTCTGCGCTACCTGCTAAGGGAGATATTTGTTAACGGTGTCGTTTTACCATTATTCAATTTGGTTTCCGATCCGGATTATATAAATCAAGCTATGATTTGGCTGGTCGGTGCACTTTGAAATTAACCGCAATTTTTGTACTTACGCATTATCTTTGCAGTGTTTACGTGAAAATCAGTTGCCAAGTGATATATTTTTAACTGTAGTTAGATTAACGGATAGCTGTGATGAATTGAGAGGTACCAAAGATCTAATTGCGCTCGAAATACAAACTCTGGTATGATAGAAAATTGTTGATAAATTAAATTATTCGATATATTTCGTTTTAGAGATCTCGTGATTCCGGCGGGGAAAGCGATTTATCCGTCAAACAACAATTAAGCAGTTTATATTACGTATTGAAGCTGATTGATAACAAATTATCTAAAATGGAGAACATGGACATGTCAAGCACGGACGGGCAATCTCTCGATTACATACAAATGGAGAACGTCAAAAAAATCGATCTGACTCTCGATCAAATCTTAAAAAACAACGTCGCACTGTCGTACTTCATCGATTTCATTTCTAGTCAAGAAAGACAAGTCGACCTGTTTTTCTACTTAAACGTAGAAGGTAAAGAACACACCGAACCCTCTATTGAATTCTCCGTTACACTCGTACCGCTTTCAGGCTGGAAGGTGTCCGTCGAACAGCAACTCTCCGACCTCCACCTGGCGAAACTGACCAAAGGCCACGCCGACAACGCCGGCCCCGTTTACGAGAACGTCCGCTCGACGGCGCTGAGCATCTACGAGCAGTACTTGGGCGAGCGAAGCGAACAACGAGTGCCCATCAAACCGGCCCTGGTGCAAACGTTGCACTTCAAAATCCGCAATCTCAACGAAACGCCGTCGGAGACTTGGTTCGACGGCGTCTTGGAAGCCGTCTACGAGAAATTGGAGACTAACTACTTGGCGCTGTTCAAAAAGAGCAAATCGTACGTTAAACTGCTGCAGGAGCTCGATCTGTTGCAGCAAAACAACGCCGAAGATGATATTATCAGTATTAATAGGTGCGTAACTCAGTTGCTAGCTTATTAGATAGGTAGAGGCCACGTAGGCAAGTATTTTGAGTCATAAACTCTCTCTGGATAATCACAAATAACTTTGGTATATGCCACCTGATGGATAGGCAACACTTTATACTCGATACATCTTGCCTCTAATTACTCTATAATTTCCTACAAACTATTTATTTGGTATTGACAGCAATGAAAGCCTGGAACCCAACGAACACGTATCCGTGGTTGCGAAGAAGCCGGACTTCTTGACTGTGGATTACACGAAGAACGTAAAGCACGTGCGATCGCTGAGCGATGTGACGGTGTTGATAGGTAAGGAAGAATCCGAGGGTAAATCTCGCGTTTCGAGTGGAGAGAGGCCCGGCGAAATCGTGACGCTCAAAGAACAAGAGGAGAAGATCGACGAGAAGGCGTTGAAAGTCGGCGCTTTTACGCTCGTCGTTAACATCATAGAGACCGGTATTGTGTGCGAGAAAGGCAAGACGTTCGGTATATATGCCATTAGAGTTACGCGATCGTACGAAACGGGGTATCAAGAGGAATGGCACATTTATAGGAGATACAGCGACTTTCATGATCTCTACACTAAAGTGAAAGAGAAAGTACGTATTGAATAACACTATTAAGCAGTAAACTTGTTACTTAAGATTATGTTAGTTTCCAGATCTTTCGAAACTCCCGTTTCCTGGTAAAAAAACATTCCACAATATGGACAGATCTGTGCTGGAGCGCCGAATGAAAATGTTAGGGGCCTACATGAACGAATTGTGTCACAATAGCGTGATATCCACGCATCGCGGGTTGAAAGATTTGGTAATGACTTTTCTCGAGCAAGGGGATTATGATCGAGCCACCGGAGGGCCAATTTCCAGCACGGTAAGAGTCGTATTCAATAGAAAATCATCGTGTAAATAACGGGTTATTGTTTTAGATAAACACCTTAGTGAATCCACTGAAATCCGGAATGAAAACCATCAAAAACATGCCGGAACAGTTGATTAATACTGTAGATGAAGTTGTAGGAGGTTTGTCCAAGGTGTTCCATCCGAAGCCGCTTAGGTTTCCAGAGGCTTGTAAAGTCGGAGCCTCAATCGAAGAGGTATTTGCATTAAGGCACAATTTGTAAAGAGTATTGGGTAAATTACGATTTTTAGACCGACGATAACATTCCACTTAGAATAATGCTGTTGATGATGGACGAAGTGTTCGATTTGAAATCTCGAAACCAATGGTTGAGGAGGAGGATAGTTACGTTGCTGAGGCAAATCGTAAGGACCATGTTCGGGGATATAGTTAATCGTAGGATTTTAGAATATGTATCGTTCATAACCAGCCCCAAAAATGTAGCTCATTACCTGTACATATTCAAGTAAGTGTTCACTAATATTTTTGTGTTTGATTTTATTTATTTATCGTATATTTTAGGCACTCGTTTTGGCCCAACGGTATGAAAAACGACAAGAAGTCAGAACGAGACGATAACACTAAATATAGGACCAGAATTGCAGCTAAAGTAGCTCTTTTATCTTGTTTATCAGGTAAATTATAATACTGCTATAAAATCTCTATATTACTCTAATTTCCTAGATGAACTGAAACATATTATCGGTTCGGAAACGACCAGGCGAGGTTTACTTACGATCTTCGATCTGTTCCAAAGGCCTATTTTGAATAGAAGATTGTTGTACGTTTTGTTAGAGGGAGTGCTCTGTAACTTATTTCCTGATAAAGGAATCGATAAGTTGTTTGTAAAGTTGTACTCGAAGTCCAAACACGATGAGCATGTGTCGAGGGCGAAGAAATGGAGGTGATAATTCTCGAAGGTACTTCGAAATATTTAAGCATAGTTACAAAAGGTTGGGATTCGTTTGTTGGAAATTCCGTAAAAAGCAGTATTGATAATGTAGTTTGTGGGTTTTACAGATTTTTAAGAACGTACCTGTTTTTATGACTGATTTATAATGGTGATAATATAATTCTCTAGTCATCCAAGCATGCATTTTTTTATTTACTTAATCAGTATAACTTTGTTGAAAAGGTTAATCGTATTCGAATAAAATCCACTTTTGTAACTATGTCGTGCCATTTTTGTTCAGTAAATTTGTATTTTCTTCTCTACCATTTCCTGTATTTGTACCGTTTATTTTAATTATAATTTGTTACAGAAATATATTTTCATTTAAAAATGCAGCTCTCGCCGTTTAATTTTATATAATTAAAGACGCTTATGTAGACGGTTTTTCTTACTTCTACGAATCTCTCATTTCTTTTTTCTCTTCACAAATATCGGTATAAAAAAAGGGATAATCAGCGGAAACCAAAACCATCCGCAATGTTCACGTGCGTTTTTACCACCGTTACCATTATCATCGGATTTCATTAATTTTTATCTATAGAAACTTGTAAAATCGATGTGCTCGTGTCAAATAGTGACAATTAAATCAAAGAGACATCAATGAATAATCACGTATGCCGTGCACCAATAATAAAATACACCTTAATTGAAATTATTTAATTAACGAAATATTTATTTAAATTATTTTTAAACATCAAACGAATAAAACGTTTAAACGATATTTCATCGTATGCAGATACTTTAGCAGATAAAAGTAAATTAACTAACATATAGGTCTGATAAAACGAACTAAATTATTTACAACATTTCTTATCAGACATCCAATAATTTTCGCCTTACAAACTATAGAAACTTATAAAAATATTCAATCAAATTTGATAGAATTAATCGACGTATCGATAGTGCCTCCACGATAGGATCCCCTTTTTTTCTTAGTCTTTTCGTGTCTGAACGATTTTCCCCTGGTGTGTTTTAGGTCATAATTCGCTCTCTCTCCCCAGGATCCTCTTGCATTTTTCTATAAAATAAAACACTATTAGCAAAATACTACTTATTACTAATCAATTGCGGGACTTTTCGAAACTGTCTTTTAATCGGCATGTATAAAATACTTACAATTCCATTTACCTAATCGAACGTAATTTTCTTATTTTCAGCCGGTTTCGCTCCAAAACTCGAATTGAACGAATTGTTACTGAAACCCCTACCGCCGCCCCCGCCGTACGAGTTCCTAAACCCGCCACCGTTGTCGCCGCCTCCGCGGCCTCTACCACCGCCCCCGCGACCCCTGCCTTCGCCGAACCCGCCTCGTCCCCGTCCCCCGCGGAACCCACCGCGATTGTCGTTACCGCCCCAACTCTTTCTCTCGCCCCCGTCCTCGTTGAAACTCCTTTCTCTGTTAAACCCGAAACCGCCCCTGCCGCCTCGGCCTCCTCTGCCCCTGTCACCGCCACGACCCCTGTCTCCACCACGACCCCTACCGCCGCCGCGACCCCTATCGCCGCCCCTGTTGCCACCGCGGCCTCTATCACCAAACGAATTTCTCTGTTGGTTTTTGCGAATAGCGAAACAAGATTGGTCGCGATGGCGCAACGGGAATATGAAAAAGAAGAAAAATATCGTATAAGTACAACAGAAATGGCGAAATGCTTGTAGGGGGTAACATGCAAATCTCATATATGTTAAATTTTTTATGTAAAAAAATTGAATCCCCGTAATCGTTCGCCGTGTCAGTTGTACTCTACTTTTCAATGAGATTTGCATTTTACCTTAGCTTCAAATGAATTGTCTGTTAATCTGGTGTCGATTTGAATGGCCTCATCGTTGACACGACGGAATGGGGTATTCTTTACCTGAATGTGAAACACGAGATCAATAAACAAACAACTTCTACAGATAATGTATAAATATTCGAATAGAAACTGACCTTGTTATCGAAACTGTTATTTTGGCCAGCCTTTACGAAATTATCGTAATTGGGTTTTTTGATTTTCAGCTCCGGTTCGTCATCATCATTTTGACTGTTATTCTGCGGTTTGGCAGTTTCCTCTTCATCGTCACTGTCATCAGACGAACTTTCCTTCTTTTTCTCGGTGGATTTCTTCTGTGCTACTTTCGGTTTAGGTTTCTCATCTTCGTCGCTAGATTCCTCCGAACTACTCTCCGCTTTGGCGGCTTTCTTAACCACCGGCTGGGCCTTAACCGCAGGTTTGCTCGGCTTCTCATCTTCGCTGGAATCGTCCGAGCTACTGCTGGCCGCTTTCTTCGCAGCAGGTGATTTCGCCGCCACCGCAGGAGGCTTCTTCACGGCCTCCTCTTCGTCGCTGCTCTCTTCCGAACTGCTCACATCGGCCTTCTTTTTGTTCGCAACCGGTGTTGCTGCGGATTGTTTGGCCGGAGTAATGGCCGGTTTCTTCGCCGGCGGTTTTTCATCGGAATCGGAATCGTCCGAACTCTCCGCTTTCCTTTTCACCGCTGGCGTTTTGGCTGGCGCTGCAGGAGTTGCTTTCTTCGGTGGTTCCTCGTCGGATGAATCTTCGCTGCTGCTTTCTTTTTTAGCCGCTTTGGTTGCGACTGGTTTCGGTGCTACTTTCGCTGCGGGTTTTTTCGGTGCTTCGTCTTCTGAAGATGATTCCTAAATAAATATAAATATTAATAGAGCATTACAATTTATTAATGGTGTATTAACTTACCTCTGAGCTAGATTCTTGCTTCTTTGCTACTGGTTTTGCGGCAGGTTGTGATTTTACTGGAGCTTTTTGAGCAGGTTTAGGAGCTTCTTCTTCCGATGAAGAATCATCAGAGCTTTCCTGTTTCTTAGCGGGTTGTTGTTTTGGTGCTGGTTTAGCCGGTTGTGCTTTCTTCGGTTGTTCCTCTTCCGATGAAGAATCATCAGAGCTTTCCTGTTTCTTAGCGGGTTGTTGTTTTGGTGCTGGTTTAACCGGTTGTGCTTTCTTTGGTTGTTCCTCTTCCGATGAAGAATCATCAGAGCTTTCCTGTTTCTTAGCGGGTTGTTTTGGTGCTGGTTTTACCGGTTGTGCTTTCTTCGGTTGTTCATCCTCCGATGAGGAATCATCGGAACTTTCATCTTTCTTAGCTGCGGGTTGCTTTTGTATCGGTTTCACAGGTTGCACTTTTTTCGGTTGTTCCTCTTCCGATGAAGAATCATCGGAACTTTCATCTTTCTTAGCTACAGGTTGCTTTTGTGTCGGTTTCGCTGGTTGCGCTTTCTTCGGCTGTTCATCTTCAGATGAGGAATCATCAGAACTACTTTCTTTTTTCTGTTGAGGCTTTGCGGGTGGTTTCGCGACTACTTTTTGTGTTTGTGGCTGTTTGCTTGCAGGTTTTTCGTCCTCAGAGCTTTCCTCGCTACTGCTCGATTTTGCCTTTTTAGCGTTCGGTTTTTTAACGACCCCGTTCGTTAATTTAGGGTTAGGAGGCGATTCGTCCACGCTGCTGGAGTCCTCGCTCACATCGCCTGCAATTTGTTTTAATTGCTTCGCTTTCGGGCCGGTTTGTAAATAGTGCACTAATATTTCCTTTATGCTAGGGCATCCACTGGGAATGGCCGTCTAAAAATAACAAGTTTAAATCAAAAGATACGCACACGTTTTTAGGAAGCATGTGCACGTGGTGCCGATGCGTGTTTTCGCCTAAATTAGGCTATTACATGAAACGATTTTAATTTATTAGAATATTTACTTACGGCTTTCGTTTCCTTTTGGAAATTTGCTGCTAGTTTCTTGTTACTTTTACTTAAAAACTCGAAAATGTAAGAGTTAAATAGAGACGCTGTAGAGTCCGCCATGTTTCACAAATAAAAGAATAATGAGAAATTCGAAATGTGGGAAGTCTATACGTCAACTGTCAATTCGCTCCATGAGGTTTTCGACCACGAGGTTTTTGACAGTCAAAAAGAGATGCCACTATCGCTGAAGCCATCGATAAGAAAGAGAGGTTATTATATCATTATAATTGATTTTAGTTGGCAGCACCTGCTTTCTAAGTTGTCAAAATTTAACGATGCGTTCCGAAATTAAATAAGCGTGGGTTGATGTATCATTTTTGGAAATATCCTTTTTGCAATGTTTATTATGTTTTTTGGTTCGTCTCATTATGAGTTGTAACTGTTTAAATTATTAAAAAAATCATTTTTTTCACTAGTCGCTTTCATTCACCACATTATACCTGTAGGTATTATAAATAATGTTTAGAGTATAAATAATTGTACAGTAATAAAATTAAAATTAACAAACAGATAATACATCATTTATTAAAAAATAGTTTGTTCGGGCAGGCATTCTCAATCGACTTTTCCCGCCACCTATAGAAATCATTTACAATTTACATCGAAGTGCGTCATTTTGATATAGTTTCCGGACATGTCCGTACAGCTTTGTTGGCAAGAAAAATGAATTGTCAACAATAGTACATAATGCAAACAAGAACAACATCTTAACATAAGTTTTTTTGAATTCACAAGAAACCGTCGAAACACCATCGAAACCTCCAACAACAAGAAATTCGCGCCGCGCTACAAATTTTAGTTTCAAACTCTCGGAATCGCAGATATGGCGCTGGCATCGTGATTATTCTGACCGGCATTCTTAGGCCTACAAACGCAACCGCTCTCCACCAACACATAGTCCTGTCCAGTGAGCGTCACCGGCCCTAAAGGAATCACTAAGAACAGATAGGGAACGTACGTTTGCGTGCATTCACCTCGAACCACGTCGCATTCCGAACTCTCGCACACCTGTAACATAATAAAAAACCATAATAATTCAGTAATAGCGTAGTTGTGGAATTTGTTACCTCGAATACAACTTGCTGCAGGAGATCTGGGAACTTCTGGACAATTGTTACCGGTTGCCCGGACGTCAGGGACACCCCGTACATAGGGGCAGTGGTGTTGTATCTCGTTTTGCACAATCTAGACGGCGCCGAACCGCACATGTTCGCAGGAGAAGTCGAAGCAGCTCTCCCTGGAAGAACAAGAAATTAATCGCAACTCGATCATTTCGTCGAGATTTAATTGAACGTGACGATTCGGTTTAGCAACGTCGTGATATTAACAGCAGTTTTGTCGTGATTTAATGCTAACTGTATCAATTAGATCAGGCGTGTTGGAAGTACCTTGTCTAGAAACGGTAAAATCATCGCTATCTAAGCTCCTTCGATGAGATGAAAGCAGCAGATTTCTCGTCGTGAACGGATCAATGGTTTTTTGAGATCTTCCCGTTCTGAACGTACCGGACCACAGCTTCGATCCTTTGAACGTTCTATCTATGGCAGGCCTGAAACGCGGAAATCGTCTCTTTACAATAAACCATAAGTCGATCAGTACAGTACTGCAGGAATAACTGTAGACGTGACCTTTGTGCGACATATCACGTCTACAGTTATTCCTGTAAAGCTTCGTATAATTATGTGAACTCACGTCGGATATGGCATGTTATTGGGGCCCACGCAATCGGGCTGATCCACCAGCGCGTCCCCCCACAAGTACTTCAAGCCTGTACCCCCTTCGCATTTCATCGGCATTTTGGCAAGGGCTGAATTTATTGTAGCACAAACGATGGTCGTCACCTAAGATTATTATTGGTATTAGTAGGAAAGTAATTGTGGTATTATTTTTTATTTAAATAGGGTACTTTACTAGGTTAAATTGATTTCTCTAGAACCTAGAACAAGGTGTACCTAATTAATGAACAATAACTAGGTACTGTATGTAGAATCAATTATTTTATTATGAACTTTCTTTACTCGAGTTGAATGTTTATTACTTATTAGCGGGTAACAGGGTAAGTAGAATGCGTTTCGATGGCGTGAAAGTCGCGATTTCCTTCCGCGCGATTCCCAGAACAGACGGAACTAGACCGATTTTTCTATTGAAAAATATAATTAGACGCGCGGTATTGAGCTCGAAACCCGTTTTCGGGCGTAGGTGTGAATTACCCATTTCTAACAGTATCGGCGAATTTACTGCTAAGTTGTTTACTTCAAAACGGACATTATTCGTCGAAAGGGAACAGAATAATGTCTTGCCGGTCCGAAAATGTGAATACCGTTGTCGACCTCATTTTTCGGGAATGGCCGAATCGCCTACTTATTAGCACCGATTAAATATTTTTTTTAACCGATCGGCTCTAAAATTAACACCGCCGCGAAATCACGACTCGAAAGACGTTATTCCCGCTTTATTATTGGCATTTATATTTAATGAGCAATTATTTCACGACGTTTTTATATGCAGTTAATTTCAATGTTGGTTGTAAAAGGCGCCTTTTATTTCACACTGCAGTTTTTATGTTTGTTAAAAACGACTTTCGGCGATATTTGTTAGCTTTAATATTGTACAATATTTATTTAACTATTAATTACAATTTTATTAGGAATCAATTGAGTAATAAATTATTCTTCATTTAGAACAGTTTCTTCAAGTACTCAACTATACACCCTTTATATGTTAATTCCCTTATCTTTAATATATTCATTTTGTAGTTACGATTATCATTATACATGTGGGTTCACTTTCTACATGTAATACTTCTGTAATCAATTTTACTCGATTCGATCATTTAAATAGTCGTTTGTGTGTAGTGAATAAAAAATTGGAAGCAAGAGAACGAATTTATAAGAGAGTTTTGGAACTTGCTCCGGGATCGGAATATTGCATTTACGAATACCAGCGCAGGTATATCATCTAGAAGAAGATATAAACACAGCCGATAAACTGATCATTGACCTTTTCATAACTGTTCTTCAACACTAATGTGGGCTCCGCATATACACTTTGTAAAAAAAAACAAATCAATTTCCGCTGGCCTAATTAAACTACTACCTAACGATTAAAATCCACATTATTTTTTTTAAATTCAATTTAGTACGAAATTATTTATTTTTAACTTACGTATATAACCAGCGCGTTCTTGCCCACCATTTTTCGCGTCTTCGATCGCTCACCGGTCGATTTCTTCAGAGTACGGCTCAATCACTCGAGAGGAAAAAAAACTGCTGGGAAATTCTCACTTCATTTTCACGTCGTCGGTCGCCCGGCTGGATCGAGAGCTGTCTGCAGCGTCGAGGACTGGATTCGAACACCGTAAAATCGCGGTCTCGCTCTTGAACTTGCCGTCCCAACGTGTACTCGAGTAGTACTCCGCTTTTGGTACGCCGAAGAGGGGATAATCAACCTCTTCGCGGTGTATGTGTGTATTCAATAACCTCGGGATGGTGCGGTAGTACCGCCATGAGACCAGCAATCCGCTATAGGAACCATCAAAAACCTGTACAAGATGCATTTACATTTACAATTTATTACAGTCGATAAAGGGATATTTTCGAATCAGGGGGAAACTTCTGTCTTCTAATGAGCTGTTGTTAGATTTTATCTGCGGAAAAATTATCATACTCATTCCACTTGATTGGAACCTTTGTCTTTTGATCGTTATTAAGCTCGACCTGATAAGAACTAAACAGGTCATAAAAATTGTTGATTGGTGCCTTTGTTTGATTGGTGCCTCGACCGCGTGACCAGGTGTTTTGCAGGTCAGTGAGACGGATTTTGGAGCTGACGCGTTTCCGTTTCCTCATTTGGTAATCCAGAAGATGATAAGAATGTTAATTTTATCGTTGAATATTTTTTGGGTACTCTTTTTGTATCACTATTTGGTCAAAATAGGTGTGTTTGCAACCGTAATTTTACATAGTAAATAAGTAATCTAATACAATCTGAGTAGGTATAGACACTAATATAAGTTTGTTAATGATAGCTTTGAAGTCATTAAAGGTGTTCCAGTTGTATTTAAATTTATTTTATAAAATTTTTAGTATTTTTTTATTAAAGTAGGTGAATTCAATGAGAGTACAGGTGCAAAACCCAGTTTAAGAATCCTGCAAAAGGTTCCGTTCGAATGCGTTTGTAGTTCCGCTTGAATGAAAAAGGTGGCGCGTCAATTCAGTAATTTACTCGCATTAACTGTTTAAATTGATATTTTTCAGCTATTTTTTTTGTACAAAGTTTTGTAAAAATTAATAGGAGGAAATCTATAAGCTTCGTACAATTTACAATGTATACAAGAAGAGTTACAATCTTATAGAACTCTCGCATAATAGGGCTATAAATTGCGCGATGTAACGCAGTAATATAGAATATTTTTTTCTGTAACAAGACCGTTATCAACGATTGATTATCCATTTCGAAAAAGGCTGAAAAGAAACGTGTTCGAGCAACTAAACTGCTAGGAGTAAACGGCACATACGCTCGCCTAAAAAAAAGAAAACGATGATTTATGGCTTGCGAAGTAAAAGACGATAAATTACATTTCGGCAAAAATACACTTTGTACAGCCACCTGTAGCGCTGTCAGTAAAGCCTTTTTACACGGGAATCTTGCGTAACCGATCGGCTATACAGAAAGAGAGCCATTCTTTAATCGCCTTTGAAAAATCGCTTCGTTAAAACTACGCACTTGTCGAAATAATAGGATAATGTTATTTCTAGGAAGAACAGTATGCTTACTACTTGAAGATTTTACTTGTATACTAATGCAAATGCATACGTCATTTTTTATTATAACTTTATATCAACAAAAATATACTTAGTTCCAGCAGATTATAAAAGATATAAATACAAAAAACAACCTTGTGCTTTTATAAGCAAGTTTACTACGTTGTAAAATGAGTTGTAAACGAGAAAATTGATCTACCACATAAACATCTACATTAATACTTGATAATTAATCGCTAATATAATTATTTATTGAAGGTAGTTTGTATTTTTTTTTCTTTCAGCAATAAAATTATTCGCATTCCGATGAAATTACAAATCTAGTTAGTCCGACAAGATTTAGTTTACGCACAAACACCGTAAATTCTGAAATGTTTGCACCATAAACCACAGAACGCTAAAAATATTTTTTTCGAAAGTGCGTAAGGAGGATCCCTCTCGCACCATTACGTAAAAAGATATCTCTTTCGCAATAAGGTAAAAAGATATCCCGCAATTTTCGAGAAATAAATTACGCACAGCCGTATAAAGCATTCACTCAGCCAGCTAAATATAACTAACGCGGGATTTTTTATTACCTTTTACTGCACTGACCTTTGTGAAATTGTCTTAAGAATTTACGATTTGTGGGAGAAAATAATTACCTGCTAACGCGGGCTACGTTTACGCGTAACAACTCGCTCCTGCTAACAGGTACAATAAGAAATCCGAGTCGAATTGCTGCTGTAAACCTACTTTACTTGAATAACATATTCGCTCGATACGAATACGGTAGTATTGAGGCAGTCGTTACATCTACAGTTTCGGTTGATTGTTTTATTATTGTACGTTTTTCGTGTATATTCATTAATGCGAACTTAACAAGCGGGAAACCCCAAACCTGTTCGATATACACGCACGACCTATACCTGTGCATATCACGCGCGGGTTTCGGGCCCATTCAGTCGCATAACAATCGGACAATTCGCCGGATTAAAGCGATTCGATATGACTTCGAGAGAGGAAATTCTGCGGTTTTCTATCGATTAGATGAAAACTCACCCATTCATAAAGTCGAGCTAGTTTTATTTATATTCATTGAAGGACGGGCGAGAGTGCACACAACAGACAATATGCGTGCGATAGTGAAAGTGCTCTTTACACTCCTACTTACAATTATTTCTGTACGACAAATTGTAAGTATAAATTTTTTAGTGTATATAGAATTATTTTCTCGTATTACTTTTGTGTATGTAGTTTTATTGGTATAATTCCTACATTATATGCTAAAATAAGTAACACTTTCTTTTTTACTTCCTTTCACATTATAACAATACCATCTACATGGTTGCCAAGTTGTGATATTTTTCCTCTAATTGTCGACTTTTACAGGCAACTCAAATTTACGACGACGTCAATGGTTGTATCGGCAACGTATGCTACAAAGATGAAGCGTACCCGTACGATCAAATTCAAGACACATTCGAAACCAAATCCGACGATTTTACAGGCGCTTTAGGCAAACCCCATAATACTCAAAAAACATCTTTCGCCGAAGGCAAATCCACAGCGGGATGTTCTTTATGCAACACAAAAATCAGCAAACGAATGCAAATCATGAGCATCATGGACGATAACAATTTGAAATTGTACATACTGAGCACCAGCAAGTACCCGAGACCTTCGATTCATCTAGAAACGTGTTTGTGAGTCCCCATCGCCGATGCTCCGTGCGCCATAAACACCCTGTATAATCGTTTTAGGTACAAAGACGCTCCTTGTTCTTTGGATAACGTGCCCAACGACGTGATGACGAGGTGCATTCAGAAGAAGACTACCATAAATTTGCTCACCTTCAACGCCACCTCCAAGGAATTCCAAGCGTACGCTTTGCATTATCCCAGCGCCTGCGAATGCATATTATTGGAAGAGGAGCTCGACTAATCAATTAACTGCTCGTAATTAACGTACCAACGTTATTAAGAAGACTGAATTATTAGCATTTTTTATGTTACGTGTTGTGAGTGTAAATAGGTTATTAAATTAAGAAAAAAATACAGCGATAATATACTTTATTCAATTTTATTAAATTTACTACATATTGTTACTACATTATATAAGATAATTAATTATTAATTTAGGTGGATTCATCGACGTCCAATCTCTCAAAACTGGTCCTCAAATCAGCCTCTTTCGCCTCAGGGGCGGTTCCTTTTGCTTCATTTCTTCCTTCAGGTCTGCAGTGGGGGAATCTTCTGCCGTGTTTGTTGCATTTAGTTTTTCCAAAAGCAAAATCCACCAAGTCTTCACCGAACCAGAAAGGTGGGTGAGCATGGTGGCGATGGTGGTGGAAGTGGTGGTGCGGGTGATGATGATGGGGTGATCCACTTCTGGATCTGCTGTGCTTTCCCCTACTTCTAGATCTGTCGTGTCTTCCTCTGCTTCTGGATCTATCGCGTTTACATCTGCTGAGGGGCCTGGATGAGCAGCGATCTTTATCGATATATTGATGGAAATTGTCCAGTAAACTGGTTATGGTTTGTTGCACTGTGGTTTTGATTATTGCTTCAATGTCTGCGGGGTTTTTACCTTCCATGTTTTGCCTAAAACAAAACTAATACCTTTTACCTTTGTACAATTTACCACGAAGAAGCTGAGCACTGATTCACTAACTGTAATATTTCCACAACACTGTTTCACACCAACTGATCCATTCGCTGCGCGGAAACGCTGTTTATATAAACGGATTGTATTACAAAACTGAGCGCAATATTTCACAATATTTCGAACATTTACATAAGAATTTCATTTGATATTACTATTTCACAAAGATAACGACATTCCATCCAATTTTTTTATACAGCCGTTGTGCAGGAATATTTTTGTACACAGATCGTAATCGCATTTGTTATCACCGTACGAGCACTTTGCGATGAGGAATTCAAAAAATTTCACGAAGCATCGCTTTTAAATTAATCTACCCTTTTGTTCGTTCGTTTTATATTCCACTTACGTTAGCACCGTTGTAATTTTTTCCAGCGGGCAATAACATCGCATTATAATTTCCGCGGACGGGATTAATTCAGCGAAAAAATGAGGCAAAAAAATGATAATCCTTACGAAACCGAAGGTCGGTATTCCTGCTTCGTCCGGCATTCGTCGTGCGAAAATATTCAAAAGACCACCGGGGCGTACTTACGACGAACAACGGCCGGACTCGGACGTTAACATTTTTGCAGGAATTAATAAGAAATTAATTATCTACTTTAATGAACGCAGGAATCCATATTTCACTACCGCAATTCCGCTGTAAGTTATTTTGCATGTTGTACATACAAGGAATTTCGTACAAAAGATGCCTGTAAATGAGTAAATGTAGAGGGTAATGGGGGTCAGTAGCCCCGGAACTGTAATATTATGTGTACTTAAGGGTGTTTTTTTTAAGTATTTAAGATTCATAGATGGGTTATCTTATTTCGTATAATAAACTTGTCTTCTTTGTATATAGGTAATATTATATCATACCAGGAACATTTGTTTTTATTTATATACCACTTATGCAAGTTGGGTTGCCTAACATTAGATACCACGTGGGTAAGCAGGAGACTTTATGAAGGCAACGCAAAGGATTTATTTAACAGTGCGTTAATAAATACGTGTAATTTAAATAATAAATCTGATATATTGAGAAGAATAATTTTGTAGTCGATGACACAGCTGCGCCACCCAACTCGTAGGAGTGTTAGTCACATCTGAGTATTCTAAAAGATTGTACGTGTGTGGTTGTCTTGTAATTCGATAATAGTTTACACGCCTACGCTGGAATGCGTTTGAGCGCGTATTTAGCGGTTTTTTCCTCAAAAAATGATCAAATACTTATCGATTGGCGAAACGTGTCTCTGTCATGTAAGCGCTTGAAGTGGGTATGGGTGCTTAAAATTAATTAATTCGTCACCCACGATTATTAATCGAGCGACTGCCCTTTATCCTACGTGGTGCATTGTTATATTGGAACAATGATGCTCGTATGCATTTATAAATACTCGCGCATGTTTATACAAATTCGGTGTCGCATATTGGGCAATCCGAAAATCAACCGCTCTGTAGGTAAGCAATTAACGCTAAAATACCTATAAAACGATAAACGTCGATATTCAATAATCGTTTAAGAACACAAACACGTTAGTTTATCCATTAATTCGACTCGTACTATTAAAATTCTCGCGGTATCTCTTCCCGCATCTCTCCGGTACGAAATAAATTCCATTCCGAAAATCGGAAAACATCGAAACCGCCTTATCGGCTGCATTGTTATTAATTTCGAATTAGAAAGTGTCCGTCGGTGAGTTGTCCACCTACGAGCCGTTTAAAACCTAATTAGTATATTTAACGTGCCTTCGATCGAGGAAGTCGTGTTAACACCCACGTAGCCGCTCTCACGATCCTCACTTTTGAAATTGCCGTCCTTCCTATACCCGTCGAATCCGAATTACTCTTATTTGTACAAATACCTACACTGTATTTCGATTAAAGAAAAGCGAATTAAAATTTTTAGGTAGGTATACAGGGTGTAAAAAATTTTACTTGTAAAGTATAAAAGTAAAGTAAAAAGTATCAACTTATGAGACGCCCTGTATGGATAATGTAATTCATTGGAAAGATAAATAAGGTGTACTGGGTTGGAATAAATATTTAACCCGTTAATAAGGATTCCACGGGGCCGTTTAACCTCTCCCATCGGACCGATTAAATCTCATCGGTTTTTCGCAATTAATCCGATCGACCGCAAAGAAACTGAATTTATATCGCCAGCCATGCCTTTTGTACGCGCTCCACCCGTTTTTAGTTTCGCGTCGCGATCGCCGAATATGGCGAAAATCGACGTGCGCTCCTTCGGCCTCTGGCCGGTAAAGAACGCGCTCGGTACGCATCGCGAACGGGGCGACGCAGGGGAAAAACCGTTGACATGACGTACCGGCCGAGCGCAGACAATCTGTCACTGACCCGAGACGAAGACGTGCCTCGAATGCGAATCCCCGGCAGCTCTGGAAGGTCTTTACAGTCGCCCTGCTGTATACTTCTCTCTACTTCAAATTACTATCCCACCTATCAGTACCATCCACCTTTGTTAATAATGTTTAGTACCACTTATATCCCGCCAAAACACCGGCATTGAAACATCATTTGATCAGTTTTCAGCGAGATGAAAAGCCAAAGTTGGTTCCTGGTAGTTCTGTGTTCAATGCATTCCATTGCAATAATTCTAGCGCGTTTGTAAAGGTGTAGGGTAAGTACGCCTTTGGTGGAGTTTTCAAGCTCGTTGGATCAGGAATGGATGGTCCTGTTGAGCGCGCGTCCGTCGCAGGATCATGAATCTCTCTCTCGATAAGAGCCGTTCTCGCCGACCACATGTTAAAATCGGCTGCCCGTCATATGCGAGCGGTGAACATTACCATTTTCCTCTGCTTAATTAAAACGTTACTTATAGGCGAACGTGAAAAAACCGCGAGTGCTCGAAAGGTGGATAATTAAAATTCGCCGTTTCGAATCGGATTCGTTAGAAGGCGAATTATTTCGAACGACAATCGACGGGCACAACAAACCGTCTCGTTAATGAAGACCACTTAAAATCTACTGGCGGTAATTGATGTCTATCAATCAGTACTGGCCGGGATTGCATAAATAATAATTAGTACCGACGATTCGCCAACAGATGTCGAAGTGCTCGTAATCAATTTAAATTAGCAGTCTATAAGTTAGACAGAAGCTAATAAAAATGTAGTACATATTGCATGAGTCATTTTTGCACTGAAAAATCTTGAGTTTTCCACAGTTCCAGAGTTTTGAGTAGAAAGAATGAATGTATGCAGTGTAAAAATTTTATTCATTACAAATTGAGCTCATCTTACCATCTATATACCCTCAATTCTACAATTTTAAGTGGGTATAAGAACCATCTAGGTATATATACTTTTGCTTCTCTCTATAATCGATCACAAAGTACCTACATATAGGTAAAGCAATTTCCTTCCTCATTCTTCGAATTACAAGTTAAATGTAAGTTAAAAAAAAGCAACTGTTCGTTACCAGTCCGCTCATTATCCAACGTTGGATCATAAACAACATTATTAAATTTAAGTGCGAGTTTTCCTCGAATCCGGCTTATAAACAAGAGCAAATTGTCATCGATGCGTCGCGCTGAAAAAATCGTAATGCTTCACTTATGGGCTCATTAAAGCTCAGATGTCGCAATGAAACAAGCGATAAATTCTTCAGGAGTCCCATAAGTACACGGCCGAAGATGTTCTAATTAAAACGAAACGCTCACCGGCGTCCATAAATCAGTTGGGGCATATCTAAAAAGGCGAAGCCGGTTGTTTGAGGAGAGATTTTCGCCAAGCATCGCCAGTCGGCATTTTGCATGTTTAATATTTATTTATTGCGCCGCGCGGATATGACTATATTAATATCGAGTTAAGTATTTTTTTCGGGATTACTCGCGGATGTGAGGTGGATTAATGAGCGTAGAGGCGAGGTGAGCAAAAATCGCGGCGATTGATAATTTACGAGTCGATGGAAGCCGGGCCGAGGGAAATTAATCCGAGCGCTAACAGGCGTCGTGCGAAATAATACCTCTATGCTCAGAACACCATGACATAAAATACCGGTCTGGATGCGAGATGAGATTCCGAAATAACGTTAAATGCGGCGCTCGTTCAACTACTGGTAAAACTGCGGTGGGTGTGTCGAGCAGGAAGTCGCCGATTTTTTTTTTCGTTCGACCGAACCCCGTTTGCTCGCATTTTATTGAAATAATGGCTTATGCTCAAAATGCACCAATCGCAGGAAAATTTGTCATACCTTAAGGGAATTTGTAAGATATGTAAAAGAAGTATGGAATGACAGTTATTTGGAGGGTTTTTGGATATTTTTAATGCATTTTTCAGCGGGCTTTCTACGCATTTTTTAGTTCTTTTTAACACCAAATATTTCTACCATAATTTTTACCCTTTTTTGAGGACTTACAAAAATTAATAAGCCTTCCAGAATCCATCTAAATTAACAAAAATATTAAAAAAATAATAAAATAAATTTCCCCAGTTTCTCAAAAAATTAGCCCTTAGCAAAAACAAGTCTATTTTTAAAATAAAACTGATGTTGCTTATTATTACACACAGTTCCTCTTACCCCATCCTTGCATGAATAAAAACATTGTTTAGTAACGAGTTTTTAAAATAGATAAACGATATTTCGAAGTATTTTAATAACATTTTTCGGCGCCCCGGGTTCCCACGATGCACGATGAATTGAATTCGCGAATCTCAGGTGGTACAATGTAAATTCCGACATACGAGTAAAATATGAAATGTAAATATTTTCAAAAGGAGTTAGACGCGAAGGCGTTTTGTATGTTTTGTATTTGTGTCAACAATGTATCGATAAATATAAAGTCGTTGATAAAATTATTGTTGCGTGGGGCCTCTGTGGGAATGTAAACACCGAGCGTTACATATTTTTTAACCATTCCGATATCGAAAACTATGTGAACGTAAATATTATAGTGCTAGATGCTCGGGATTTTTTAACGCTTATTATAACATTTATCGTGTTCTAGGAACTTCTTTGGTGTACATTAAAAAAATCGATTCGAAAGCCCACCCAAAACACGGCAGTTTAATTTAACAGTAGACGAAGGATTTTTTTAATAAACGACCAA